TCTCCCGTAAGCCAGGTTGCTCCCTTCTCCATTCCTCCCTGCATGCCCTAGGATGAAGAGCGGGTAGGCCTGGATCTTCTTCTGAATGCCCAGTCGGACTGTGCCCTTCCCCCGTTTCTTCCACAGCCACGGAGCCACACTCCCACTTCCTGTCAGCTGCTCAACCTCCCCCTCAGAGTCAGACTCCAACAAGGGCATGACAAGTTTAGCCTTCCGTAAGGCCTTAAAGAATCTGGCTTTTCACCCCCAAGGGTTGGGAAATTAGATGACAGCCCGTTAGCGTTGATTTGTGCCATTCCTTGTTTCCCTTTTAATGCTTGACAGTTTGAGTGATTTTTATAGGTTTTAAACTGATTTTATATGCCTGTTATTGTTTTGATTGGGAGTCGTCCAGCGCCGGTTGAAAGGCAGCCAGCTGTTACCAATATTTTAAGCAAACAAATGTGCCTTCCCTGTAGCATCACCTGCCCTCTGGAATGAGGTTCCTCGTGAATTCGGATGGTCTCCCCTCTCTCCGCCCGGCCCCTTGGTGAGGGAGAACGAGACCCTCACTTCATTGTGCTTGCCATCTTTTAATCTTTTATGCTTTATTGGTTTTAGGGTAATTTCTTTGTTGCGAACCAGCCAGAGCGGTTGAGAGTCAGGTGGCATACAAGCTGTAATAAATTATTATTTAATTATCCATCCATCCATTCCACCCACACACCCATCTGGCTGCTACTGCTTTTAAATCCAGCGTTTCCCCCCTGGACGGCTCGAGCGATTCAGAAATAAAAGGTGAAATCCTTTAGTAACGCTATGGGGATTCACACCAAACAGGAGGATGGGGTGGTATACATTTTCTTTTTAAAAAAAGATGGTACTTGCCCCAAATTCTGTCTTTTGAGCTCCCGTGTAGAGGCTCCTGACTTGAAAATATAACCACAAACATGGCAACAAACGGACGGCCATCTTTAGTAAGTACTAGCCAATAAACACCGGGTATTTATTTATCTTAATCCTGTATTAGACAGGAAAAGCCCAGATTTCGGCGACCCAGAACAAACTTAATTTGTAATGTTGGTTTTTTTCCCCCGTTGCCAGAGAGAGCCCTTTTGTGTAGTACTGTGAAGCCATTACCATGGCAACTCCACAGCGCTGTACAGTAGAAGACATGTTAAGGCGGTACGGTAGAAACCATTTGAAGGCACAACAGGCTGTATCTTAAGAATACACCATGAGGAGTGTTAGAGGTGCCTTACCCCCACGGTATTTGTTTCCAGAGAGTAAGTAATCCGTGTACCAAGTTGGGTTGAAGTTACTCGAGGCATTCCAGAGTTATGCTGGAACACACACACACACACACACACACACACTTATACATAAAAGAAGAAGATTGGTGACTTTCATATTTTATCACTCCTTCTGACGGCTCATCTCCTTGGTTTTGTTCTAGGTGGGAGGGCTGGAAAACATTCCCAGGTATAGAGAATTGGGGAGATGACTTTGAGTGCACAAACTATTACTTGAACAAAATGGGGTAAAGCATTGCTTAAGTCCCGGAAACAAGACAATATCGGAAAGAGACACCAAATCCCCAAGAGACAGCAGATATAAAGCACCATCTGGCTTGGAGGATTCTGTTATTATACAGGTAGTCCTCAACTTAAAAGAGTTTGGTTAGTGACCGTTCACAGTCACAACGGCATCATGACCAGTTTTTCCACACTTATGACTGTTGCAGCATCCCCAAGTGAAGAGATTAAAATTCAGACATTTGGCAATTGAATATAGAGTAGAATAGAATAGAATGGAATGGAATGGAATGGAATGGAATGGAACAGAGTACTTTATTGGCCAAGTGTGATTGGACACACAAGGAATTTGTCTTGGTGTAAATACTCTCAGTTTACATAAAAGAAAAGACACATTCATCAAGAGTCAAGAATCATCAGGTACAAGACTTAATAATCATCATAGGGTAGAAGAGAAGAGAAGAGAAGAGAAGAGAAGAGAAGAGAAGAGAAGAGAAGAGAAGAGAAGAGAAGAGAAGAGAAGAGAA